TATATGTGTGTGTGTGTGTGTAGCGCATCCTTAGTGTCTTTCTGTGTCGCTTTTGTCTCTAACAATTGGGGCGTCGAGGGCTGAGCCTTGGCTGACATTAATGACACCCACACATGGCATCCAATTTGACAGGCAACATGGGCCAAATTAGTGGAAATCACAATCACAACTCGCTCCTTTGCTCAGTTCCGCCCCCACCCCTCTCTCTCCCTCTCTCCTCTCTCTCACTCTCTCCATCTCTCGTTCTCTCCCTGCTTACCATTAAAGTCATGCGGAATTTTTTACTTTTATTTTGCTTTTTTTTTGGCACAAATATAAAAATCACACAACTTGCCGCTCTGTGACTTGTGGCAGCTGCTGACCATGCGGCTGGAGGGGGCGCAGGGGCGGTTGGCTGCGGGGGTGGTGCGGGGGGGCTGTGTGCTATCCGTGCGCCGATAACTATCGACAGCAGCCGAAACAGGCAACAAGGCATGAGTTATTTATGGCTTTTAAGCGACAGCTACAGCTAAAATCTTACGGCACTACTTACCCAAAAAAAAAAAAAAAAAAAAAAAAAAAAAACAAAACAGAAAGAAAAATCTCAAAAGTATCACAACAACAGTTCAGTGCAGCCAATTTGGCCTTTTTCCCCTCAGACATTTTAGCCAGATTAAACGCTAAACAACTTTAAGCTTTTAGCTTTAAAACAGCCACAGGCATGGCATCTGCCTAGAAGACCTCGTTTGTGCAACTTTAAATAAAGAGTTCTAACGAGCAGAAGTCTAGCTTTCATGGAGTTTCTTTACTTCTCCCTTTATTTTTTGAAGCTTTTGAAAAGTATATTAGTTTAAGGCCAACAATTTTTTTATTTTAGACTACTGACTTGGCAAAAAGTTCGACTTATAGTAAGCAAATATAAAAAAGAATATAACGAAAATAAGTAAATATATTCAAGCCCAGCTTGCAGCCATTCCAAGCAACAAACTTTACCAACTTTGCCTCAAAGCACATTTAAGCTGTTCAATTGATTCTACTTATTTTAAAAAGCTAACCGTTTTTCATAGCCATTTTGTAGCTAACAACGATATGGCAACACTGGCAACACTGGCAGCACTGTCAGCGAACAGCCAAGCTGTGGGTGGGGTGGGCACAAGTTTAGCAGGCCCGCAGGGTGTAGAACGCTCAACGGCATGGGGGCTGAGCTGGGGCGAGGGGCCTGTCAACTCACATATGGAGATTTATTTGCAGCACATTCGACTGTTAAGCGCATTTGTAAGCATTTTTAATAGAGTCCGTTGTTATTGGCGGGTCATCGGTGGGTTAAGTGCTGCCTTCGTGTGTGTGCGTGTGTGTGTGTGTGTGTGGCCACTCTCCCTGTCTGCCCCTCCCGCAACACAACGCATATCTAGCTGCCAATTGGCCTCGTTTGGCCTTCAACAAATTTGGCTGATTGTGATTTCAGACAGCGCTTGTAGCTGACATAAGCGAAGTGAGAGAGAGAGAGAGAGAGGGAGAGATCAGCAATCGAATTAGAAGAAGAAGAAGAATAAGTAGCCAAATATCAGAAGAAATACATACAAATATATGCATGTATATTTATATTTCAAGCTGGCAACCTTATCCGAGTTTGATTTATTTGACCAGAAATTGAAGAGGCGCAACTGTTAAAGTTAAAGCCAAAAGAAATTAGGCATTAAGTCTAGTAGAAATTGTAGAAATGTTCAATTTAAAGCTTTTTAGATACAACTTTAAGTTAGAGTATTCATTTTTCAATACTTATTGCATTTTGCTGCGAAGCCTATTTTTAGAACAAGCAAAAGCTTAATAGCTTAATTTCAGCTTTAAACGGCGGCAACTCCACACAACATTTGTCTGCACGGCGGGTGGCAACGACAGCGGAGGGCGACGACAGGCACATTTGCATTCATATGTGTATGCAAAAACATCTGGCAACTCTGCTTAAGCAGACAACAGACAACACCGCAGAGTGCCAACTACATGCGTGCAATAAAAACGAAGCCAAAAGCAACGCAAACAAAAACAAAAACAAAAACTAGACAAGCAGCGCTGCCTGCTCCAAGTACATATATATTTGAGTGCGTATGCGTGTGTGTGTGTGTATTTTTAGCTTAATTTTATTATAAAGCGCAGCGAGTGATAGATGGGGAGGAAGGGGGCGATGCCCGAGAGGCGCACAGTGGCAGCGCTGCTCCCGACGCTGATAAGCCGGCAACGTCTTGTGACTTTGACTTTAATGACTGGATTTATAGGTCCTTGGAGATAATCTCGGCCAGCGAGATAGACGCACACACACACACACACACACAACAGCAGCAGCAGCAGCAGTAGATCTGCTTGCGGCTGCTGCTGCGACTGCTGCTATTTTGTTTACCAAGCGTCAGGCGCGGATGTAGTTGTCTGTGTGTGTGTGGGGAGGGCGGGCTGTGTGAAGGGGGCCAAGGACTAGCGCTAAGGACGTCGTCGTTGTTACAGGGTAATTAACATCAAAGCCCGACAAAGCTCATAAAAAGACGGCGAGATAAACATACGCACAAAGAGGTTGGAGGTTTTGCAGAGAGCCACAGCTAGCGAATGTGAGAGAGAGAGAGAGAGAGAGCGAGTCACACATGGGACTTGGTACGTGGTGGACGTGCATTGTGAAAATAACGGTAGTTGCGGCAAGCGGCGGCTGGGCGGGGGTCATCAACTTGTCTGCGCAGTGGCAACGCGAGCGGAGGCGACGAAACGCTCAACGTGAAATAATGTTGACAGCGCCAAAAACAAAAAAAAAACAAACGAAAAGGATGCGCCGGCATACAGGAGACAGGCAGACAATGACTGTATGTGTGTGTGTGTGTGTGCATTGTGCACGCACATGTTTGAAGCAATTAAAATCAGATAAGTTATAGAAAATGGCCTGTCGTCGACATTTAGACATGCCACTGTCATTCGAGTAGCTTCTCCTGCCTCTGCCCCAGCCTCACCCCCCCCCCCCCCCCCCCCCCACCGCCCTTCCTGGTCGCCTCTCTCCAGCCGATTCCTGTCGCGCTGTCTGTGACGTCTTCCGCTACGTTTGTCACGGCTGCCATTGTCTCTGCCGTGTCTGCCGTGTATGCCGTGTTACATGTGCTCCACCCAGCCCCGCCCAGGCCCGCCTGCTCTGCCTGCGCTCCTGGCCAACGCTTTGCGTAATGAATTTCAACGAGCAGCAAACGCGACGAGCCAAAGTGACAGCCAAACGAGCAGCAGCAGCAACTGCCACTTGCCACACACACACACACACACACACACGCACACACACGCGCACTAAACTACACCCAAATGGGTGTGAAATATTTTTGGGCAACAAGAACCAGAACAATTCGGCGAGCAGGCATTCAACTGTTCATTTGTATGCCCTTTTCGCCGACAGACCCCAGTCCACACCTGCCCACAGTCACTTAGCCACGCCCACGCCCACGCCCACACACACACACACATACACATACCGCATCCGCGGCATCTTCAGCTGATGTATTCATGGCCTTGACGTTAACGAAGTGACAAAATTCGCACCCTTCGTTCAAGTGTAAATGGCAAAAACCCAGAAGAAGAAGAAAAAAAAAACAAAAAAAATGCAAATAACGGCAACTAGGCCGAAGCTTAAATGCCCTGAGGTTTGTTTTTTCAAAGCTGCCGTTAAAGTTAACAGCCGCTTAAACATATTGTCTAACCTGCTGCCTAAAGACCTGTTAAAATATAGCTTGCAGTTAAGTCAACTGTTACATAGTTGATTGTACTGTCGAGCAGAGTTGCCAGTGTTGTTAAGTAAATAGTAACTAGCTTTTAGATCTAGGGTTGCCACTTGAAGCGCCCCTTAAAATAATGGTTGCCCAACTGTTACATAGCTGATTGTACTGTCGAGCAGTGTTGCCACCTTGCTATGCACTTGTAAATCTAGGATTGCCACATTTTAGCACAAGAATTCAATATCTCTTAGGTTTTTTCTTTTCAAAATAGACAAAACTATTTTCTAGCATCAAAAACTCTGTTCAAAAATTAAGAAATGCTTATACTTTTTGACAATTTTCTAAGCATAAGGTGAAACTTTTTTGCGTCTACCTTATAGGCTTGGAGATCTAACACTTTTTCTTTGAGTGTAGCTCATTAGCTTGTAGGTCTTAACGTGTAATGAAATGGTTATGCCCTGGGTAAGGGCATTAAAATCACACACAGACACGTTGAAATATTCGCACGCCCCGTTACCACATTGTTGCTGCGTGTGTGTGTGTGTGCGTGCGTGCGTGTGTGTGTGCTTGGGTGTGAATCCTCCCGTTGGACGCGGGCTGGTTGGCAGCATTGTGCACTTAAGACATTCGGCGTGCTTAACGCGCGCGACATTTGGACAGCATGAAGCAGATATTTTGAATGCCAGTTCATAATTCTAAACACTCCTCACACAAGGCTGGGCAGGCGGTTGGGCGGTTGGGGGTGGGGGAATGGGGGTACAAGGACATTTAAGACACTTGTCTAACCACTTGGATTTGTTGCCTCGAACAACTTTTGCATTTATTGAGTGCATGTTTTGTTTGGCAACTCGAATTGCAGAAAGGCTTTTAAGTGTTCAGAGTTATTTCCTCAGTAGAATCCAATTATATTAAAGAGAATATAATCCAAAAATCGTACTAAATAGACAAAAGCTCTACGAAATCTTAACTGGCCTTTTTCTGATTTCTTTGGGGCCAATGAAATTTTGTGCTTTACAAGGATCGGATCTTGGAACTTGTTTAAAATCAAATTATATTGAAGAACATAGAAACAAAATATCCCAAAAATCGTATCTCAAGCTTAAGAAAATCTTATTTGCAAATAATTGAACACATTTTTGGACTAATAAAATTGGCATTTTATTTGGATCTTAAGATCTTGGTTTTTCGGAATTAAAATATAAAACTAGAAATACTTTCTTGGAATACTAAAGTTGTGCTCTTTGTGCCTTGTCTGAAAATAACCGAACACATTTTGAACTTATAAAATGTATATTTTACTTGGGTCAAGAATCAAAATTGACATTATATTGGACTCTGTTTTATGAATGCTGGCTTTCAGCTGGGTCAGCTTGGAGGAGCACGTCTCGAATTGGGTTTACGCTCAGGAATCCTTGAGTTCTAGAGCTGCACTTCGCTCGCGTCACTTGCGCTGTTCAAACAAACATTTATGGGGACTAGCAAGGTTTCGAATTGACTTGGATTACTTTTCGGAACTCGTCGGAAAACATTATGATGGGACTGGTTGGCATTGGGTGGTCGATCCGGGCAATTGGGTACGGCTATACGGCTAGGTCTTTGCGGTAGCGAATTAAAGTGTGGACTTAAATGATGTTGTATTATTTACATATACCTTATTCTACTTTGGGTCTTGCTATTGACGCCTGCCGTGTGGTTCCTCAATGAGTTCCAGGCTTGACTCGGACATTTCCAAGAAATCCTTGGCATCGAAATTGTGCTCCATGCTGAAGTGTGCCATGTCGCTGGGCGGCTTGCTGCACAGCCTCAAGGATGGCTTTTCCGCCAGCTTCGGCTCAATAATTAGATGGGATTTTTTCTTATCAACTATTGCCAGAGCCGAACCATGGCTAACGATTAGGCGAGTTTCCGTTTTGGTCAGCTGCTCGGCCATAAGGCGCTATTAATGGGGAATTGGTATAGGGTTTAAATGGGACTCGACTAGGCTCTGGCTCTCTGGTGGCGACTTGGCGGCTTACCCCATTCAGGTCCAGGCTGCCCTTGCTCTTCTTCAGCTCACCGCTCGGAGCCTTGTGTGGCACATTCATTTTGGACACAAGCTATAACGACAAATTTGGTTAACGCGAAAGGGCCAAATCTGAAGAAGAAATCGAATCTAAAATACAAGTTACAAAAAAGGAAAATGTCAAGATAAATAATTTCAAAGCCGAACGTACTTAAAACTGATATTTCTCTGCTCAACCAGGGGGGTGGGGCTGGCGCCCACTTAGATGCCTGAATGTGTGTGCTCCACAGCTGCTTGCCGGATGGGCGCAGGGGGGTTTCTGCACAGATGGGGGGAAGGGGCAACAAGCCACCCATCCCATCCCACCCACAGCACGCACTCAATTGCCCTTTGCCGGCAGGCCGTGGCTCTGTCTTCTTTGTGGCTGCTCCTTGGGGCAATTGTGGGCACTTGATGCTTAGCGCATTGTTGGGCAATCAACAGGGCGTGGCCGCTGCTCAGCCTGCCAGCCATATGGCCCAAAAGCCGTTGTTGTTGCTGTTGTTTCTGCTGCTTATTGTTGTTATTGTTGTTAATGCAAATGCCAGGCATTCGAATGCACTCGCGCGTGAGCAACCAGCCCCAGCCAAATGCACTTGACTTGAAAAGCCAAATGCAAATCAAATATAAAGAATATATATACATATATATACACATATATATACTCACAATGGAAGCGAACTTTTCACTCATTGTTTGCCCAAGATCTTGGGCCACAAAAAATATACAAATATTTTTTCAAGTCTGTTTTCATGTGCTCCATGCACGCACGCATGTTGGTGTACGTGTGTGTGTGTGTGTGTGTGTGTTTATGTGTTGTAGGTAATACGAGAGATAACTTTTTCACAGATAGATTTTATATTAGTACGATCAGAGAGAGCTATGTCCTTTTAGAACTATTTAGAAGTTGTTTCAGACTCAATTCTGGGTTAGGTCCAATTTTTAGCAAGTCACGCAAGAGAACAATGTGTTTGTTTTGGCGATTGTGGAAGAAAGAGCGAAAGGATAATAACAATGTAATTGGCATTCAAACAAATTGCAAATCGATGGGTTAAAAAAGTTGTAGACCGGTTTTGATGGTTTTTTTGGAATATCTCGGCGAAATAAAGTCAGATTTTGGCATGAACGAAAATTCGAAATTGACGATTTTTTTTGAATATCTCGGGTAAATACGAGAGACGAGTCCTTTGCCGAACAAACCGTTTGACAGGGACTAGAATCTGCCCAAAGTACATCAAAATCGTCCTTATGGCTTCCGAGCTATGGCAATTGTCATTTTAAAGGACGTTAAAAGGACCACCTTAAGGACCATCCTGATGTGCTTTGAACCATATGTAGTGCTTGTCCTGCCAACTTAGAATATGTTATAAAAAGGACGAAAATCCTTCAAGGAGCTGAGGAAAAAAGGTTTTTGTCGGTAGAGATAAAAGGCTGTAGATCGGCCGTATCCTTGCCGATCATTATTTCCCTTAGCCAACCGTTAGTGCTCATCCTTCCGATTCAGAATATACAATGAAAAGGACGAAAGTCCTTTAGACAGCCTAGATATGAGTACAATTCCTACGTAAATTAACAAAGCTATAACTCATCCGTATCCTTGCAGATCCTGACAAGTCCTGTGTCAAACAAATTGTATGAACCAGGACCATAAACTGTCCAAAGGACAACAAAATCGTCCTTGCCGTTTCCGATATATGGCTAATTTTCTAAAAAGGACATTTTTCAACTGGCCATAACTCGGCCAAATCCTGAAGGATATCGGAAGGATGTGCCTTTTTGAACTCGTGGTGAGTAGAACTATCGATTGGCATTCAAGGATTTCCAAGATTCGACAAAAAATTTCATCAAAATTTTTCCTAGGGGTCGCAAAATTGGCTAAAATCGAAAAATTCCGGTCTAACTTGGCCATTTGAAGGACTATCGGGATGTCCTTTGGCCAGCAGATAGTTCTTGCCCTCCCATTTAAGAATTAACAACTCAAAGGACGAAAGTCCTTCAGACAAAAAAGTTTTAAGGACAATTTTGTTCGAAGAAAATAAGCCATAACTCGAGCATATCCTTGCGTATCCTGGCGAGTCATATGTCAAAATAATTGTGCTGACCAGGACTACCACCTGGCCAAATTTCATTAAGATCGTCCTTGTAGTTTCGCAGATATTTAAGGATTTGTGTTTTCGGGCCATTTGCGTGCGCTCCGGGACAAAAATTTTACAAGTCCAATTTCGAGTAATATGATTCTTAGATGACCCCATATTTTTATGATGCAGATCGATGCAGGGGGTCTGTACGATCCTAATGCACCATGTCCTTTAAGAATCTGCAAGGACATGACCGAGTTATGTCCTTTTTTCTTTATATAAAATGCCTTCATGTATTTTTTGCCTTGTTTAATTTAAATGTGTTTTTATCTTTTCAGACTGACAAATTAAGGACTACAATGTGCTCTAAGGACCTTCACGCATGACAAAGCAGATTTTTATATATTTACAATCTACTTATTCTACTGGTAAGTCTAATACACAAATTTACAGTGTCAACTATATAAATCGATCTGGGAGATCTATTGGGTGAGACCTTCGCAGTCTCCTCCGCGTTCGGAGTCCTCCAATTCTGCGCCTATTCAGAAGACGCCTAGCCAGTCGATTAGGATGACTTCTCAGTCGCGCTATATAATTTGCGGCCTGTATATTTATTATGTCCCCGACTTTGGGCACCCCTAAGTCTTTTCCCAAGTCGGAAGTTCTCATATACCAGGGGGCACCAGACAGATATCGGGGTTGGTTCGAAAATCAAAACTTTTTCGATAATTTTTTTTGAATATCTCGAGTAAATATCGTCTGAATTGAAAATTGCATACCTTTTTTAATTCGTACGGATCCCTACTATCAATTGGCATTCAAACAAATTAAAATTCAGTGGGTTAAAAAAAGTTGTGGCCAAAAAACCATTCCTTTTTAACGTCAACCCTTTTTTTATGTTTTTTTTGGAATATCTCGTCCAAATAATGTCAGATTTTAAAATTTTATACCATTTTGGACTCGTAAGGATCAGTACTATCGATTGGCATTAAGAAAATGAAAATCCAAATTTTGACCCAAATCGACCAAAAAGCAAGGGGTTACATCAGGTTTTTTTTCAAAATCGGGGTCGGCTCGAAAATCACAACTTTTTTGATCAATTTTTATGAATATCTCGGTTAAAAAGCGTAAGATTTTTAAAACTTACACCTTTTTGAATTCGTACGGATCCCTACTATCAATTGACATTCAAGTAAATTAAAAATCGATGTGCTAACAAAAATTGTTGACCAAAAAACGATTCGCTTATAAAGTCAACCTTTTTTGATGATTTTTTTGAGTTTTATCTACTTTTTGAGCGACAACTTTTTTTAATATATTAAATATTATTTATTTCAGGTAAATACAGTCACAACTTGACAAAAGGGAGGACAGAAGGAAAATAGCTGGAAAAGACCAGACAAAGCTTACTTGGGCAACGCCGGATAATACCCGCTAAGTGTAGATACATGAAATAAAAACTAAATATTCAAATGCTGTAAAACATATATTTTTTGGAATAACTATATAAATAATAATTATGCAATGAAAATACGATGCTATGAAACAAAATAAATATATTGAAAAATAAATCAATTCTGATGTTTTTTTTTGTGAGGAATTTGTTGGACAGTTGAGGTGAGTAATTCGAAAGAGTCGACATAGCTTCGCCGTTGATCTGCGCGAGATTATTTTGTTAGAAAACAACTCTCGGGTAAAAAACGTCTGATTTTCGTTTTTAATGCGTTGGAGATATGTCGTTTTGATACGACATATCTCCAACGCTCTGATTTTCGTTTTTAATGCGGCGAGATATGTCGTTTCAAAACATTTGCATTGCATACCCAAAAGGGGCGTCTGTTGGCAGCCGCTGACTGTCGAGATTTTTCTTAAAATCTGCCAAAATACCAGGCGAACAGAAATGCCCAGAAGGTCGACAAGAAATATTTTTAGTTGCCGAAACATTTCATTGCATACCCAAAAGGGGCGCCCTGGTCGGAGGCTGCGCCCCAAATTTGCCCTAAAATTTCGCTCAAATACCAGGCGAACAGAAATGCCCAGAAAGTCGATGAGTGCTTTTAATAAAATTTTCATAGCAGAGCATCAAGGGGCAAAAATGTAACTCAATTAAAATGAGTTATTTTAATTAGCAGTTTCTGTAAAATGAGTGCTGTAAGCCGGCTGTTAAGCAACAGCTAATGTAAAAGGGCTCCTGAAAGAAAAAGCATACATATTTTTGGACCATTTCAATGCACATTTTGCAGGGATCTGATCCTTTAGGTTCCCAAGGACTATATCGATGGTATGGCACAACCAAGGATATGCTAGTCAACTAGAAACCATCCAGGGGGCGGAACTGTTGATAGGGGCGGCTGTAAAAGAAAAGCATAAACATTTTGGAACCTGTTCCTACGCAATTTGCAAGAACATTGTCCTTTAGGTTCGCTAGGACTCTATCTATGATATGGAATAACCAAGGATATATAGGTCAATTAGGTACCCCATGCATAGCGATCATTTGCTGTTGATTTTATGTTGTCCATAAGGCTGAAAAATACAAAATAAAAAATGTATTAGTTTCTGTAAACTAAAATACATCAGTTTAATAACGTGCGACTTACCTTTATAGATACGCGAGTCCTTAAAATCGACAGAATTCAACAAAATGTTGATTTAAAAATCGACGCAGTTTTGGCAACAACATTCTATAAACATTGACAATTTGGTCAAAATTGAAATACGATTTTGTTTAAGCCAAGGTCATTCAGCTACCAACGTTATTGAATGTTTTCTTATCCATGCCAGATTTGCTGCAAAAATAAACAAACAAAAAAATGAATTAGTATTTTGCAAGCTTTTAATTTCGGTTAAATTAGGAAGGATATACCTTTGGAGTTCGTCAAAGTCTTCAAATTCTGATTTTAGAGCAGAACAGAATTGCGAAACACACACCCAAACATGCATACATACAAATATGCATGCAGAGAGTTTCGCCAAATATGTACATGCATACATATGTATGTATGGTATGTCTGTATGTGTATATGATTGCTTGGACATTATCTTCTTCTTTATCGCGCTGCCACGAATTTGTTGCGACGTGAGAAGAAAATTATAATTGAATAAACACTTTAACATTCCTGAAAGTCTATAAAATCGATGGACTTTTTCAAATTTTGATTCCATTTTTGTGAAACCTTAGAATACGATCTTTGTTATGGCCATTTCTTTACTCAAAATCATGTGGACAATAGTCGGCGCACAGCAAATCGAGAGGTAGAAAACGCATAGGCATAAATATACACAAACACAATTAACACATATGTATGTATGTGTGTATGTCAATTGCGAAGACACACACCCAAACATACATACATATGTATGCAGAGTGAATCGCCAAGCATGCAAATACATACATACATACATACATACATACATATGTGTACATGTGTATATGCATATTTCCGTCATCTTCCTCTCTTTTTATTCATCGCGCTCTCACGAATTTTATGCAAGGTGAAAAATAATTTTTGGTAAACTTTTAACACTTTAACATTCTTGAAAGTCTATTAAATCGATTGACTTATGCAAATTTGGATTCCATTTTTGTCAAACTTTAGAATTCGATCTTTTTTATGGCCATTAATACTTGCGACCCGTGCAAGTCCGAACAAGTATATAAGTACATACATATCAATTGCAATAAACACTCACCCAAACACACATATATGCATATGGACGTATGTATGTATGTGTGTGCATTTGCGTGCAAGTGCCTTATCTACTTATGCATCACATTCACAAAAAAAAAAACACTTGATAGACTAGCGCTCGCTGAACAGCAACACGCCCTATTGACTAATGGGGCCACACTGACTCAGAGTAAAGTTGCGCAGATCCATAAAAAGGGCGCTCTCAGAAAGAAGAGCACTCGAACGACCAGACGAGAGCATCACTATTGATTGGGCCAATCAGCGATCGGCACCAAATAGAATCGTGAGCGCGACAGCGAACACACACACGAACGGGCGACTGCGACTGCGGCTGCCTAACTCTGGCTTTCGCTCAACTCTGCGCAGACACGTGTTTGTGTGGGTGTGTATGCAAAGCAATGTGGCGCATCGTCTCACTCGAATTTCGATCGCTTGCTTAATTTCTGTGCGCCGGTTTTTGTCGTCCTCTCAAGTCACTCACAATTTAACACTCTGTTAGTTTGACCCCATGTTTTTATTGGAAGCTGAAAGGGTATTATGTATATTTCATTTCGCTTATTAAATAGCTGCTTTCTTAAGATTTGGATACAACAAAATAAACGAGAATTATCAGACGCACAATTACAGCAGCTACTTTTTTGTGGTTTTTTTAGTAATTTTAGTTGCATTTACAGTCCGAAAGCAAAGCATGAGTATATTTCCATTTATAATATTTTCACAGAAAACACAAATATTATCCCAGGCAAATAATTTAGGAATGTTATACCTTTTTTGATTCGTAGGGATCCCTAATAACGATCTGCAGTCAATGAAGTACAAAATCAAGGGATTAAATCAAAGTTTTAGTCTGCCCAACTTTTATGATAATTTTTAGGCAACAAATAATGTCCGATTTTGAAGAGATATACGATTTTTGACTCGTAAGGGTCAGAAAGGGTGGCCGCACTTTTAATGCAAATGCTCTATACAATAAGATCTACTGTTGATAATTTCCTCAAGATCGCTTAAGAAACACAAATTATGCTACTCTAGAAGTCTATCTATGACTGGATATTTTATTGCCAAGCTACATCGCCGGCAAGTTAGACAAATATTCCATAGAATCAAATAAGCCAAAAAAGGACCTCTTGGGTACATCCCTGATATCACAGGTGATCACAGGTGGAGTACTTATGATCCTCTAACGTCTGCAGAAAGTCTTCTCATCTACGTGGACTCCGCACAATCTTCCAAAATAATCCTATCTCTCTTAAATATATCAAAAATTTAAGCATATGTATTTGTTCTAGAGTGCTCTGAATTGCCAAAATGCCAGACAATGCATGTGTCTAAAGGCAAGTGTGTGTGTGTGCGAGGGTGTGTGTGCAGGTGTGTGTGTACGCTGCATTCGAATTTATATTAAATCGTGCTGAATAACTAAGTTTGACAGCAGCTCCCAACTATGTAGCTGAATGTGAGGGCGCGACTATGTGTGCGTGTGTGCGTGTGTGCGAGTGTGCGAGTGTGTGTAGCATCAGCTGCCACATCTAATTAGCTGTGGCCCATATGCATTGCCAGCAGGCGTTAATGGAGTGCGTAATGGGTTAATTTTGGGCCAAACAGAACGTTGCCGCTTTTTCTGTGTGTCTGTGTGTCTGTGTGTCTGTGTGTGTGTGTGTGTGTGTGTGTGTGTGTGTGTGTGAGAGAGAGGGGGCGTGGCAGGCGTTAGTGAACGTGTCACTGTGTGGCATGTCGCGACGTGCCCGCATCACATCAGACGCCAACGCCGCTGACGACAAGTTAATCACATCGTGTCCAATCAGCCGAGCTAATCCCCAGCACTGTCCAACCCCCCCCCCCCCCCCACCCTCACCCACTCCCCCTCTAAGCACCCCTAGTTGGAAAAGTATAACTGGGTAAATCCATCTATATACATATTTTTATTATTATTACTGAAATGGGCTGGCGCTTAAAATGCACGCAGCTGCCCCGCTCCCCCAACCGCCTGCCCCTCCCCCACCACACTCGTCGTACAAACACGCAACAGCTGCTGCATATCAATTTGTAGACCCCCGCCCCTCCCCCCATGTGCTTGTCATTGGAACATTTCCACCACCTTAAACTTTTTCAGCCTTGACTCTAAGCCCGGCCCGGACATTGGCAATTTACATTCGGTATTGGACATGTCCGCATGTTGCAACATCGGATCGGATCATATCGACGTTGACATCGACAGCCTCAGCCGCGTCCTTAGCCGCATCCGTGTCCTCATCTCCAGTGGCATCCGCAGCGACATTTTCTAGTGGCCAATTATCGCTTAAGCCGCTGCGTTTTGGCTTTTTAAAGTTCCATTTTAGACGTTTCAAAAATTTCGCTTAAATTCCATTGCCATTGCCATTGGGTCGCCCTCCATCGTCCACCACCCTCCGCCCCCTTCAACAGCCCTTAAAACGTCAAAGCCAAACAAGTCATAAAGCCACAAAATTAGCTAGCACGACTCAAAAATGCCCTGTAATCTGCGCGAAACGAACAACGAAAAGAGAAGAAAACAAGCGAGAAGTTTATGGAGAAACGAGAAGCAAATCAAGAAGTAAGCTGAGAGGCAGAGAAGAATCAAATTGAGACGTAACGCAAAAAAGGTAAATGAGAAGAAAAGCAAGAAGCAGATTATAAGCAGAGCGAGAAGCGCACGTAATATTGAAAAGCAAAGCTTAACATAAAGGAAGAAGCAAAATAGAATAAAAGCGAGAAGCAGAGCGAGCAGCAAATCGAAAAGTAAAACGAGAATCAGCGCAGCAAAAAGAATGAGCAACAGATCAAAAAGCAAAGCAAGAAGATAAGTGAGTAGAAGAAGCAGAAGAGGAGCGAGAAGCAAAGCAAGAAACTAAGCGATAAGTGAGACCTAAATGAAAATAAAGAAAGACTACACAACAAAGTTTAGTTGGGAGCAAAATATGAAAAAAGGTTGAGAAGCAAAGCTAGAGAAAAGCAAGAAGCAAAGCGAGAAGCAAAATGGCATTAAAACGCGACAATCGAATCTTAAAGCGAAACGAGAAGAACATGAATAGTGAATGAATGAAAGAGAAAGAGGCGAGAGAGAAAAGAAATAAAAGAAAACAGAAAAGAAATAAAAAGTGTATGAACATAAGCAATGCACGCGCACAGCATGCCTGCTGGCATGGCGTTACAGGGTATTATTTAGGCATAAAGGCTGGGAAAATATGCAGTAACCGCGAAATTGAAATTTGGCTTCGGCTGCGACGGTGGGCGGTGGGCGGTGGGTGGTGGGCGGCTTCTTTGCATTGTTTGCGCTGCTTCTGTGTGTGTGTGTTTTTTTTTGTCCTCTGCTTTTTTGTGTAAACGGACGGCTCACCACCTGATCCTAAGTAAATACAAGGATGCCAACAAGGCAAGCCCACGCAGTCAGCCAGCCAGCCAGGCGGGCAGTGGGTTGGGGGCGGGGGGTCGGAGGGACAGACATGCATGTGAATATTTTTTATTATGCGTTGCGAGCGCGAGCGCGCGCTTTTCTTTTTAATTAAATGAAACCAGAGGAATTGACCCAAAACGCAGAATAAATAAATACTTGGCTGGCAGCAGAGTTGGGGGGGGCGGCGGTCGGGGGCGTGGCATGCATATTTCTAAGCAGCTGGCGGCTGTTGTTGTTTTGCTAATAATTATTTCACTTTTTTTCACCGGGTGGACGGGGCAGGGAGGGGCAGCTGGACCTTGGCGGGGGGGCGGCGGCTCAAAGGCGTAAGAACAAAAATTCAAAAGATGCCGCGTGGCCTTTTGTTGATTTTCCAAAACAAAGCAAAAAAAAAAAAAAACAGAACACAAAAAAGTCAAAACAATAAATAAAAACAAGAAAGAAAAAAAAAAGATTGCTCAACAAGAAGAATTTTGTGTAAAAAACAATAAATATTTCACCTTCAATAAATCATTTTCATTTTTCCATTTTCATTTGCCCAGGCATTTGCGAGGGGGGACCAAAGGGTTGTGTCAATTGGTTGGGAGGTTTGTTTTGGGTCTGGATTTGGGTTCGGGTTTCGGTTCGCGCAGCAGTTGTCTGAGTAGGATGCCCTTATTTAAAGTGCAAATGCCTGCATAATCTGAGCAAAATATATGTGTAAATAAACAACAGCACAGCACAAATACTTTAAGGTATCATTGCACGACCTCTTCAAATTGTTGGCCAAAAAAAAAAAAAAAATGGAAATAAAATATGAAAAATACATTCTCTTCAATTAAACCTGCCTCTATACAGCTTTAGCCAATGTTTTCATTTTAAATTTCCATTAAAGTTCGGTCGGTTTTTGGCTTGAATTTGGCTTGAAATTGATTTTAAAGTCTTTAATAAAGGGAAGTACAAACGGTCACTCTGGCAGCAGATCACAGTATGTTAAGGATCACAGAAGTATATACGGTCACTCTGGCAGCATTTTCCATATGCTCTCGACATCTATGCAAAATCGTATCAACATCGGATCATTATATCATATAGGGACAATCGGTCGACTTTTTGGATCTTATAAGTCTATTTTTAACTA